CAATCAGTGTAAGAAATGTGACAGCAGATGGCGCCTGTGGCTCAAAGGAGTGGGGTGCTGGCCCCATGTGCTGCATGTGGCGGGTTCAAACCCACCCCCAGCCAAAAACTGCAGGAAAAAAAAAAAAAAAAAAAAAAAAAAAGAAATGTGTCACCTATGCCTATTTTCTTAAGTATTCTTGTTAGAAAAGGATGCTGAATTTTATCAAATGCTTTTTCTATATCTGTTGAGAGGTTGGTATGGTCTTTTTTTTATTGATATGGTAAATTACATTTATGGATTTGTGTATATTAAACCAGCCTTCCATCCCTGGGATAAAGCCTACATGATCATTGTGTAGCTGCAATCTATTAGCTAAGATTTTGTTGAGTATTTTTGGATCATTCATTAGTGAAATTGGTCTGTAGTTCTCCTTTTTAGTTGTGTCTTTTCCTGGTTTTGGTCTCGGGGTGATGTTTGCTTCATGGAACGTGTTGGGGGAGGTTCCTTCCTTCTCAGTGTTTTGGAATAGGTTCTGCAGTGTAAGTACAAGCTCTTCTTTGAAGGTTTGATAGAATTCTGATGTGAAGCCACCTGGTCCCAGGCTTTTTTTGTGTGGGATTTTTTTTTATTGTTTCTTCAATTTCAGTGCTTGATATATTGATCTATTCAAGAGATCTCTTTCTTATCAGTTAAATCTAGGGAGATGGTGCAATTCCAGGTGTTGGTCCATTTCCTCCACATTGTCAAATTCCTGAGTATAGAGTTTCTTATAGTGGTCAGGGATAGTCTCTTGTATCTCTGTGATATCTGTAATTATTTACCCTATTTTGTTTTTGGCTGAGGTTATTAGAGATCTTTCTCTTCTGTTTCTAGTTAATCTGGCCAAAGGTCTATCAATTTTGCTTATCTTTTTAAAGAACCAACTTTTTGTTTCATTAATTTTCTAAATGATTCTTTAGTTTTCAATTTCATTTATTTCTGATTTAATTTTGGTTATTTCTTTTTTCTGCTAGCTTTGGGATTGGGTTGCTCTTCCTTTTCCATTTCTCTGTGATGATTCATTAGGTTGTTGATGTGCTCTCCTTCTGTTTTTCAGATGTAGGCGTCTAATGTGATAAATTTTCTTCTTAGGACTGCTTTTGCGGTATCTCACAGGTTTTGGGTAACTTGTAGCTTCACTGTTGTTATGTTTGAGGAATTTAATAATTTCCTCCTTTTTCTCCTCCTTGACCCAGCTGTCACTGAGCATAAGATTAGTTTCCATGGCTTTGTGGGGGGGATGAAAATTTTTGTTGGAGTTGAGCTCCACCTTTATTGCTTTGTCGTCCAGGAAGATACAAGACATAATTTCAGTTCCTTTAATTTTGTTGAGGTTTGATTTGTGTCCTCAGATCATCTGGTTTGGAATATGTTTCAGGGCTTAAGGAGAATAATGTATATTCCTTGGCTTTGGGATGGTATGTTCTATGTATGTCTATTAAGCACATTTGTTCCAGGGTTGCATTTAAGTCCCTTGTTTCTTTGTTTAATTTCTATTTAGAGGACCTGTCCAGTTCTGTCAGAGGGATGTTAAAGTCCCTAGCTATTATGGTGTTGCAGTATATCATATTGTTCAGACCAGTTAAGGTTGGTTTCAAAGAAGCATTTAAGTTGGGTGCATAAATATTTAGAATTGAAATATCTTCTTCTTGTATTGTTCCCTTGACCAGTATGAAGTGACCATGTTTATCTTTCTTAATGTTAGTTGCTTTAAATGCACTTGTATCTGAAAATAAGATGATGACCCCTCCTTTCTTCCGATTTCCATTTACCTGAAATACTGTTTTCCATCCCTCACCCTGAGTCTTGATTTGTCCTTCAAGGTTAGATGTGTCTCCTGGAGATAGCATATGACTGGCTTGTGCTTTTTAAAACCAATCAGCTAGCCTATGCCTCTTCAGTGGGGAATTCAAGCCATTTACTTTTATTGAGAGAATTGATATGTGTGATGGAGTTCTATTTATTTTATTTTGTGAGGGTTTGTTGCTTAGTTTTATCCTTTGGGGTGTTGTAGAAGCTAGGTTTTGTCTTTTTTTTTTTGAGACAGAGTCTCACTTTGTCTCCCCCTGGTAGAGTGCCACCATGTCATAGCTCAAGCAGCAACCTCAGACTCTTGGGCTCAAGTGATTCTCTTGCCTCAGCCTCCCAAGTAGCTGTGAGTACAGGTGCCCACAACACCCGGCTATTTTTAGATAAGGGGTCTTGCTCTATCTCAAACTGGTGTCAAACCTGTGAGCTCAGGCAATCCACCTGCCTTAGCCTCCCAGAGTGCTGGGATTACAGGTGTGAGCCATGGTGCCTGGCTCGTTTTTTCCTTTAGTTTCTGGGTGTTTAGTTTGTTGATGGTTCATTGTGATGGTTAGTGTGGAGAACAGGTCTGAGTATGACCTATAGAGCTGGTCTTGTTGTGGCAGATTTCCTCAGTGTTTGCATATCAGTCAAAAATTTAATATCTCCTTCAATTTTGAAGCTTAGTTTAGCAGGTTACAGAATTCTGGGCTGATAATTGTTTTTGTTTAAGAAGGTTAAAGGTGGAGCAGCACCTGTGGCTCAGTGAGTAGGGCACCGGCCCACTATACCAAGAGTGGCGGGATCAAACTCAGCCCTGGCCAAACTGCAGCAAAAACAAAAAAGGCGGGTGCCTGTAGCCCCAGCTACTTGGGAGGCTGAGACAAGAGAATCACCTAAGCCCAAGAGCTGGAGGTTGCTGTGAGCTGTGATGCCATAGCACTCTACTGAGGGGGATAAAGTGACACTCTGTCTCTGAAAAAAAAAAAAGGTTAGGGCAGGTGTGGTGGCTCACGCCTGTAATCCTAGCACCCTAGGGGGCCGAGGCAGGTGGATTGCTCTGAGCTCAGAGGTTTGAGTCCATCATGAACCAGAGTGAGACCCTATCTCTACCAAAAAAAAAAAATTGCTGGGTGTTCTGGCAGGTGCCTGTAATCCCAGCTACTTGGGAGACTGAGGCTAGAGAATCACTTAAACCCAAGGACCTAGGGGTTGTTGGAGGTTGCTGTGAGCTATGATTCCATGGTACTGTACTCTACTGAGGGTCACAAAGTGAGATTCTGTCTCCATTAAAAAAAAAAAAAGAAGAAGATTAAAGGTGGTAGGAACCTGTAGTCCTAGCTCCTTGGGAGGCTGAGGCGAGAGAATCACTTAAGCCCAAGAGTTTGAGGTTACTGTGAGCTGTGATGCCACGGCACTCTACTGAGGACAACATAGTGAGACTCTGTCTCAAAAAAAAGAAAAGAAAAAGAAAAATATATTGCAGTATATTGCCTGGACACCAGGTGGTGTTCCAAGAAGATAGAAGAGAGAGAAAAGGTATATAATCCGATGTATTTCCTGGACAGCAGGTGGTGCTGTGGGGTTAGAAGACAGAGAATACACGCGTGGTTTTGCTGTGTAAGGTGGGGGCCAGAAGCCCCTCTCTAGTTGCAGAGGAGACTTAGTCCTGTCTTCCTGATTTATTTCCCCTCAATCAGGGCTTGGTGGTTTCACTAGCATTCAGTCCTTGTGGGAATGG